GAAGAAAGGAGGCCATGTTCCAGTTACACTATGATAATTCATGCCATTCTAGAGAAATACTTATATTCTCTGTTATTGTTTTTGAGATAGTTATAAAAAAACAAAAAACCAAGCTTGAGACGTGGAGGGTTAAATCTACAAATAGCTTGTCTGATAAGAGGAGCTAACAACTATGCAAAGAGCCAGAGAAACCACCTAGTCAGCAGAGTGTGGGATGTTAATCGCTGTAGGATTGAGAGGAATACCTGGAGTACAGGCACTACAGGAGGTTAAGGTTCAGTTTCATATGTTGGATATTATCAAAGTATTATGTATGAATGTTTTAAGGTTATTACGTCTCACTTCGTCTTGTATTTCTATAGACAGGGGAGCCCTGCCGATTCATTTCAGTGAAACAATTTCCTTGTCTCGTAAACAGTTGTCAATTCCGGCAAACTTTTCATATCTGACCAAACCTCAAACAACATCTAACTAAATTCCAAAAACAAAGACTAAAAGCTTCTATAATCTATGGATGTAACAGATTAACTGGACATAGAGTGCAGATAACAGAACAGTCCATTTGTATTATCAGTCAAAGCGCAACGTAGAACAGCATCCTCTCCCTTTACCCCCATAGCAACAGCCGTTCTCCACTCCACTGACGCAGTCAACCTATTCAGGCTCTTTTGTCATTGAGATCACCCAAACACTCCTCAGTTTGTAGTAGAAAGCTCTTTGTCTTTGGGACCTCTCTGTTACTCATCCGATCTCATCCAGGAGCATGGGCGAGGTACAAAGACACAGGAGGCTTATTTTAGCTAAAATGAGGACTGAAAACCTCTGAATATGTTTCTGCTCCTGCTGGCAGGTGTATCTTCAGTCACTGTAACTCACTTGGCCATCAACTCAAACTATAAAGTAACGACACTGTAAAACGAGGACATCTAGCGTTGACTGTGATCCATTACACAACAGGGACAGTGGCTCCATCAATGGGCTTCACAGCTTTAAACCATAAAAGGGTCATTTCACAAAAAATGATAGGCTGTGGAGACCACAGCTCTTCAAGAACTGTGGTCACATTTTAGGGAAATTAATTAGTTGAAATCAAAACAATAAAATAAAGTAATTTGTTGTTTTAGTGAAGAATGAAAAGGCATTTAAGTGGTGTGATGTAAACCAGTAACTATGTATCATTTGATATACAAGTCTATACAAGTCTAAATCACGTGATTTAGACTTTTCCAAGTAAAGCCTTACAAAGTTTCTTAACCATAACAGCAATGTCAGTCTTCAAATGTTGAATTTGTCACCTTCAAAACCGTCTTGCCTGCCATGGTCTGCCTGGAGTATCCCAGCACAGATTCAGCAGAAGCAGACAGAGGAAGAGCAGCAGCTTCCTCCAAAGATACCAGAAACAATGACACTTTTTTTTTTACGTTAATGTTACTTTAATTAATTGGTCACAAGGAGCCAACAACAGTTCCTTCCATCATGTTGATTTGTTCGTGGCTGCTGTTCAGATTTACTGACCACAAGAGAGCAGTGTTAGGCTGCGGACATGACAGATGTTCTGGAGCAGCATCCATCACGGTGCAAAGGCCTTTGGAGTCCACGCAAGAAGAGTCATTTTGCATGACGATATATTACTTTTGTATTACAGCAACATTTTGTGCAGCGCTTCCTCAGGCAGGCCAAAACACTTAATCACCTCACCGCAACAGCAACTGACCAGCAGCCCTGTGACACAAGCACAGCTCAGCGGTTGTGTAACTACCTTGGTAAAATATTGCTTCCATTAGTGTTCTGCTCATACCCGGGCCATGCCCAGACTAACAGCACCCCAGGAGCTGCTCAGGCTGAGCTCATATTCCATTTGTTGGGCTGGTTATAAATAGCACTGAGCGAACGGGAAGGAGATTCGCACAGTTCAAGAAAGGGATGTGACCTAACAAATGATTTGAGAAGAAAGTGAAGTTGTATCGGCAGTGGCCTATAAGAGCTTTCAAATTTACAAAGTTAGTTAGCTGTGACGGCACATGGATGGACCTAAAAGCATGTCTGTTTGCCCATGTCTCGTGACTTTGTCCAAAGAACAAATATGTACCCAACCACACATGAAAGCAAACAAACGTAACAACATAATGCAATTTTTTTGGTTAATCCTCTTCTTAGTGCTCCTGTGATGCCAGCCGTGAACGTCACCGAAACATCGCTGGGAGGGCTGCGACTGAAAGTACCTGTCGTTTTCCTGCACTGTAGCCATTTTCCCAGCGGGATGTAAACAAGCATGACACACGTCTTCAAAATGAGCTTTTGAAAACAACACACAGCAAATGACTGTAGTGTTTTCCAGGAGATGCAGGGAGGCCGCTGTGCATCATTGTCTCCCCCAACAGGAGCCTGAGAGGGCTGTCAGATCACACAGTCTCTTGTCTTTCTCATTTGAATAAAGTTCTTTTTTAACTTTTCTCTTTAACACATTTTTATAACAGCCATGTCATGCTATAAAAACAAAAATGACACAAAAAGCCATGATATCACACTGTACTGTAAACCCTGCACCCAAATGTAGTCCACAATCCCCCCCAGAGGCATATTGTAATTCAACACAGATGGCAAGCGGCAATATTAACAAATTGGCAACAACATCTTACTAAATATATTATTACCCCATAAGCCTGGCAGGACGAGCCTTCTGTTCTGTCTTCTCCTTCATGGAAAATGACACCCACCAGGTTGGGAGACATTTGATTTCCTCAAGTCAAACACACCAGAGTATGTGACAGGGAATCTTTCGAGTTGATTAGAATCCCATCACCAGGAAATATGTTTAAGAAGAATACGGACTCACCTGCATTTAGAGTAGCAGAATGCCTAAAAGATGTATAAGGAGGGAAAGTGTTAAATGTTCTACAGGTCAGAGGAAGCTTTCGGTCTATTGTGGCATGCTCGGAATTCAGATAAACAGGTGCAGAAAGTGGATTGTATCACAGAGCTGGAAAACGTCACTCAAATCTAATAATGCCTCTGCTCCCAGTTACGGCTGCCTTTAAAAGCTTGGTTTTCCCTTTTAAGGTATACCAAGAACTACACCTACACCAGCTCCTTAAACCCAAAATCTCACCACAGACAGAACCGCGTCTTTAATTTTCCACTGCTGCATCCTACAGTAGACAATAAGAGGAAACACAGAGACCTGTGAACCATAAACTGATCATTTCATCCTTGTTTTTTCTTGTATTTCAGTAAATTAACTATCTTTTGTCCTTGTGTGTTGATCTAGCTGAAAGAGATTTACAGTATATTTGGTATCTTGTTCAGACAGATCACAGATCAAATATAAACTATCTATACTAATATCCTTAAGGACGAGAAGCAGATCTGAGGAAATCTTGATATCAACGCATTGCAAGGTGTCTCGTTTTCTGGAAAAATATAAAGACATCTATCATATCATCTGAAACATGTTCACTAAATGTTTAATTTTTTGCATTAATTGACTGGCTATTAGCAGCCTGTCGGTACAGATTTGTTCCAGCGCACTGCGTAGCTCTGCTGGTTTCTACGCTTTCTAACAAGTACAATGAACACAGACAATTGAACACAAAAGGGTTCAGTATGATTTCGGGGTCCTTGAACTGCTCATCCCGTTTTTAATTTAAGCCTCCAGCAAGTCCCCATTAATTAGGTGTTTTACTTCAACAGATGAATCTTGACAAGTGGCTGTATTCTCAAATGTGTAATCTACTGCAGCTGACAGTCCTGATAAACAGGAGCCACTGAATGAGAGAGGAGCTCGTTAACTTTTCCTCAGATTTTCAGATTTTCCCTGGCAAAAAAACATCACTGAGTGGCTTTAAACTCATCTGACGGGGCCCCAGCTGGATCCGTTCCTCGCAGAATGAGACGTGAACCACATTTCTTTTGAGATGAAAAGCGGGTTTGCCAAGCCAGCGTGTTCCCGGTGTTACATCTTACCCGCAGATCCGAGGAGGACCCAAAGAGTTCTCATTCACAAGCGTTTCCAAGTCGTGAATCTATTGTCGAGTTTTCATGCAGCAGACTGAGAAACGTGTTGTGGAGCTTGTGTAACGGGTTCAGCTGAACAGAACTGAAGGGTGTCGGAATCCAAAGCTCATCTACGACACATGATGGGTTTTAGCCACGAGAAACGCCAGATCCTCTCTACCTTTAATGAAGGAATGCCAAAACAATGCAAGAAATATGCCAATTAGGCAAGACACAGGTGGCCTCGGGCCTCATAAAGCCCTGCCGTGCACACCTTATTAGGCAGGCTTATCATAAAACACAGTAATTGCCTTTCCTTTCTCCAGTTATAACCCCACTGACTCAGACAACACTTAAACAAAAGTGAAGGGTTGGATTTTAAAGATTATTCCTGTGCAAAGTGCACCGTCAGCTCTCTTGCCCGATCCCTACCATTGTTTCAGGATCAGCAAAAATTCCGAAATTGCCCTATCAGTCAAACCACACTGACAAATGACAAAAAAAAAACTGTCTGACTATATTCTGTGTTTATAGGAATCGTGAATGGCAGGAGGAGACGTGTAATGGCAGGCATGCATAGTTTTAATTACACAGTCACAGATCATTATGGGTTGCTGTGTTAAAAGAGAACCTGCTGTCATTTGCAAACAACTTTTTAAATTGAATTTGAGAATCAGTGCATTTTAGATAACTTTTCCCAGGGCAGCTGCACTGAATCTTGAAAAGAGGAATCATCCGCTGACATGTGATGGACTGTTTAAAGCCCAGTCTGAAGATGTTACAGCATCCCAGCTCAAATTCAAACTAAGTGCCAGACAAATTAACTGTTTCTTTCACACCTCCCGCCATCACGTCAGCTGCCGCTCCCCCCTGTCTCTGTGTGTCTGGGGGAGATATTTTCCTGCACCATTTCTCTGTAATCCACGTTGTCTCACACCTGCCAAAGGATGCGCGCAACCAATTGACAATGACACCACTTTGCGGTCGTTCGGCGTCTTTTCACTCACTTCTGTGACTGGAGTAGCCCGGGTTGTAGCCGTAGTAGCCGGTGATCCTCAGAATCCGGTCCTCTATGTCGTGCACCCCGTTGGCTGTCACTTTTGGGCTGTTGCCCGCGAGGCTGCCGTCGGTCGGCGTGGCGTTGCCCGGCAGGCTCGCGCTCTTCAGGGGCTCCAGTTGGATGCAAGGCTGGTCCCCACTTTCCATCCCACTGTCGCTGCTCAGCATCGCGGGTCCGAGGGGACGGAGATCGCCAGATGCCGGGGACGAGCCCATATCACTGCGCGACGGAGCTTCCGGGCTGCATCAACAAGCGCGAGGAGGACATCCAAAATCCACATTCACATTCCTCCAGTGATGCTCCCGGACGCAGAGCAAGGTTATCACACTCCAGCAGCCCTGGCAGGCATCGGTCACTAGGGGGCGTGTCACTACTATCACATGATTTACATCTATCAATTAAACAGGAGGACGTGTCATGGCAGCGGTCAAACCAAAGGATTAAATAAAACTACACTAGGCGTTGTCTCCCAACGTACTGCCTTGAAAAAAGTAACAACATTCAATCATATGAATAACTGCATCTTGAACACCTTTGATAACAGTGGTCACTGCTTCCAAAATGCTGTTAACACAGTATCACTCAATGAAAAAAACTATATACGAACTAGATCCAAAGCAAGATCTAAAACATTTTTTAGTATAAAACTTTTCAGTGTATAATGTCTCCAACTTCAAAGTTCAAGGCATGGCTGAAAGCATCCTCCAAGCTTCCAGCTTGCCATCAACAGCTTGAGAGCCAGCATCTGTGAGGGGATGGGGGTGCATTAGAGCACATGGGCTTCATTCACATTTGTGAAGGCACCATTAATGCTGAACAATATATGCTGGTGTTGGAGTAACACATGCTGGCTGCAAGACGGGATTTTTTTAAAGGAGGGCTTTACCTGTTTTTGTATTTCAAAATGACAGCAAAGAAGCTGAGCGGTACAGACGCTAAATCTGAGCCCCAGAAGTTCAAACCTGAAAGAGCCTCGCCACGTCATGAAAGGAAAGGTTTCATTTGAAACTCACCCTGTTTTGGATGGCTAAAGTCCTTCAACCAAGAGGGAGAAACTATTTTATTTTCAAAGTTACATTTACCAAACTCTAACATTGATGCTCAGATATGAGGAGATCCCACATTGATTAAAAACCCTTACTTTGAACATTTAATCTGTTTTTTTATTCCTTAAGAAGGCTAATAGGTTCATGGAGGAGCTGGTCAGTGTTACACATAGAGAAATGAATTATTTTCATATTTTATTCGAAGTGGTCTTTGGCATTGCTTTGATACTCCGGTCGTATGAGAAACAATGTTATGTGAAATGAGCTTCATTGATCTAATGTAGTGGGTCACCACTGAAGATAGTCCTTTTAAAATATCTGACACTGTATAATGCTGCAAATATCTCCAAAACTCTCCAAGATGTTGTTCCAAAGACACTATTTTCAACATCCATGCGTTGCTTTGCCCTGTGGACTGATGCAGGACCTCTTAGTGAGGACTCCATTTGTTGTTCAGCATAAAATATGTATGTAGCACATGTTTGTCTCACACGCTGGTCCACAGCTTTTTACTCCTCTCTTCTTTCAGATTCTGGCCTCAAATAGTTTGAAATGTTTTCTTTTAAGTATAATTGCACACAAATTATGAAGTTTTTGCACACACACCAAGTTGCTTTTTTACTTCTCACCATTCTCAAGCACTTAATATGAATTTCATTCCAAGGTAAACTCCAGAACAATCTCTTTTCCTCAGCTGGCCATAGGTTTTTGTGTTGGCTCAGGAAAGCTTCACTTGACTGGATCCCCCAGCTTGCAGATGCTCAGAGAGAAAGAAAAAAAAAAGAAATATAGAAAACCAGGCTCTAAATCCAATAACACAAGATGCAGTATTTCAGTGTCTCTGATACGCCTCTTTCCAAGTCCTCCTTCTTCCGTGTGAAATCAATTCCCAGTGTGTGGAGAATTTGTGCCCCTGCTGGCATTGTTGTGCAGACGCGTTCTGAGGTTTATGATGCCCTTGGACGCCAGTAGTGTTTCCTCCTCCTGTCTTACTTACTAAACCAATCTCCACCTCATGTTCTTTTGTTTCAGTTTGTTTGCGCTCCAAAGCACTTATCTCACACATTCAGTTCAGGAACAGCTTTGTGGCCACAACAATGCCCAGAAACTTTCCCCCATCCCTTTTGAGAATTGCTAATTTATTATTGGACACTTTCTTACAAGTCTGTGCAGCTACAGTCCAAAAGAAGTTTTCTTCAGTTGTCTACTTTTCTTGTGGTGCCTACTTTCACTACAACTCTGTGTAGATCATGCAAATCAAATAGTAAACAGGCAAACTGGCAGTCATCGCTAAGGTGCTGGTTTGCTGTTTTCTATCACGTAGTGAGCATTAAGCACAGAGAGAATATTTATCTTTAATTGCAAACCCACAATAAAAAGCAATTGATACATAAGGCGTGAGAATGCTCATCCTGGGATTTTAGATTTTAAACGATCAAACACAGCATTGTGTTGCATGAAATGATCGCCACAAAAGGCCCCCTCAAGAAATAAGTCAGTCCCTGAAGAAATATGTCAAAAAGCTATCATGAAAAGACGATCATTGTATCTAATTTGATATCTTCCCTTGCTGTCCCCAAGCAATGAAGCCGACATCTGCCTCAGACAACATGATTATCATTCAGAGTGTCCCCAGATGCAAATCCTCTGCACGTAATGTTCTCACTCTCCTTTGCTTTTGTCTCTACTGCTTTAGTGGAATTAGCCAAGTGCCCTGAGCACAAAACTAAAACAATATTCCTCTGGTCCTAAAACATTTCCACTGTTCATCTTGCCTGCAGTGCATTGAGGCTCTTACCGTTCAACAGCTTTTATTCAGTGTTGCGCGAACAGATAGACAGCACAAAGAGAATGGTTTCCATTTTTAGGTTGCAGATCTCATTTCTGATGCTGACAGAAGTATGCTGAGTGTATTTTTGGACATTAATCGAATGGCAATTTGATAATAATATCATCGTAATAACACGCTGACTTTCTTCTGTGACAGACATTCTGCCATAAAGCATAACCCTTTGCCTTAGTGGGATAAAAGGACACACCGAGGAAACAATATGTCCCATAGGACTTCATTTCATGCCAATCCCAACACACCAGCACCCCCCTCAGTAGCTCAGCAAGTCACCTTAGAGATCAGTGACCGACTCCCCAGACACCTGCTGTATAAATATTCAATGTGCACTAAAGATAACTTGACTCGTGCAGTTGGGAGAGAGAAAGCGGTTTGTTTGGCAGGAGGAGAGGTTGTCATCTGAATGTAGGGAGCTCATGGTTGTATGGTGTGTTGGCCCACAAAGGTCATGTGTGAAAGCTTTATACATAATTAATAACTTTGATCACCAGGTCTCTGTGGTAATGCATGCCTTTTCAGGCAAAAGGGAATGTGAGTGCAACGATAAATAATCATAATAGAGCAGATTTACATTTTGAATGACCAACTTATAGGCAATGAATCTCTCCTTTAGCCACGGACGCATTTGCACAACAGCTGATACTGAAACATTTTCTTACTAACTGTTGCGGCTTTACCCGATATGAAATATCATAATATCCCATGAAACTTCGTGTGACCTTTCTTTGATGTGTCCACGCAAAGAAAAACACATTTGCTTGCTTTTGAAGTTCCATGATGTACCTGATGGTTGTTCAGTTGCCAGATTTCGAAACAAAAGTTGATTAGCCTCAATAAGGCAAGCAAGTCTGCTCCGATTTAAGAAACTCTATCCACAAATGAATACAATATATCCACTGATCAAGCTGTGATTTTGAAAAAAATTGACAATCCACAGAGCTCGACTCCTCCATCAACCGAGCACTAACAGTAAACATTTTATACCTGCTCTGTCACGCAATTAGTGGAGGTTAAGTGAGTATTTTATTGACAGCACATGCTGTGAAGTATAGGTTGCAACTGAGGCTCATGTCACCACTGTCACATGTTCTTCAGCAGGCAGTTTCCCTCAATACCGCATGCAGGATACATTTAACCGCAGGCGAGTGTGCACATGAAAATTTTATTAGCAACTGTCCATCCACTGTACTGAATGTTATTCCCTCCATATGCGGCCATGCTTTGTGATGCAAACACACATGAAGAGTTATTTCCTGACAAGAAACACCGCAAGCATGTCACTTAGACGTTCAGCTAAATGGAAATCACATTGTTTACTTAAACTTGTGGCTCGCAGATGAGAAAGCACTTAGTCTCTGACCTTGTAGGTAAAAGAAGATCAATATACTGATCAGAAGCGGTGTGAGAGTGGATATTTCCATCTCATGTTGAAGACATCCATGTGGAATACAGGGTGAACTCCTTTGAAATTGTTCATAGTAATTTGCAGTTGAGGTGGTCTTCATTTTTCAGTTGGTTTTGCACACTAGATATTTTTCAGTTTTATGTGTATGAGTCCTAAAACACACAAAATACAATATTGTCATGCATGTTAGCTCTGTATGGGTTAAGGATGAAGGAATATGAATGTATTTTATTATTTTTACACATTTATATGCATGAGTAAAATTAGTTTTTATGGGTTTTCATTCATTTAGATACATAGAAGTTTGATAGGATGAGATTTTTATTTATTCATTTTCAGGTAATAAGAAATATCCTCCTGAGACCCGGCCCATTCATTTATGTCCATTACAGTGGACATTTTGTCCACCTGTACCCCCCCTAAGTATCTGGAGTTACCCTATCAAGCCCTATAGTGTTCTGTAGAGGACATCCTGGGCTTTCCAGTGATGTGCCATGTGATAGGTTTGCATGCTGGGAACTTTACTTTTTTCCTAAGAGTTCTTAGGTAAATATTGCTTTCAAGACATCTTCTTTTTTATTATTTAATTATCTAAAGCCTGTTCTATTTTCCCATGCAAATCGTCCTGTTGTCCTCCACAGTGGACATGCTATGAAATTAAAATGAAAAATATTTTTAAAAAAATATAAATTGTAATGTTCTTTTTTAGGTCCAAATACATGGAAAATCACAACAAAAAAGAAATTTGAAGACACTTTTTTTCTTTGGGTCTCAGGAGGATATGATAAAATGAATGTCTTAGTTATAGTAAAACGCTGCATTGCACAATAGTATCCTATGGTAGTTATACATTTAATTAAATGGTACAAAGTGTTTGTAGACAGATGGATGCCTAGAACCTTTGAATGCACTCTT